CCCGCCGCCGGGGGGCTCAGATTTGCCCAAAGCCTTGTGGCGGGCATCCTATGTGCAGGCCCGGGGGGCGGGCCGGCGCCAGGGTGCACCCGGCCGCTCTAGGTAACTAGCTCGACAGATGGGCAGACAGACAGACAGGGAGAAGACGTGTATATGGAGAGAGAGGGCGAGCAGGAAGCCGTCCTGGGTCAGTTGCCCGAGGTGCATTTCACAGGCGAGTCCCCTGCTCGCCCCCCTCCCCAGTCCTTCAAAGGCCAAGCGTGACCGCGGCCTGGGCCTGCTCGTGGGGTGAATGGCAGCACCTCGAGGAGCGGGGAGCCTCTGGCCGAGTCCCCTGCTCGCCCCCCTCCCCAGTCCTTCAAAGGCCAAGCGTGACCGCGGCCTGGGCCTGCTCGTGGGGTGAATGGCAGCACCTCGAGGAGCGGGGAGCCTCTGGCCGGCGGGGGAACGGCCGGGAACGCCCTGTGCGTGCCGGACAATGGCGCGGAGAGGCCCGGACTCCTGTGTGCAGCGTGAGCGCTCTCTTTATTAGGCGTGACGTGTTGCCTGAGATAAATGTCTAAACGTGGAGCAGGGCTTCGCGGGTGGCGTCCCTGACACTTTTGAGGAAGCGGAGGACGGGGGACCCGCCGGTGCCCCTCTGCTCCAGCCCGGAGGGAGGAGCCGGCCGCGGGAGGCTGCCTCGGCTTGTCTTGGCGGCGGCGACGACATACCTGGTCGCGACGGCGATGTGGTGCGTGCGGAAGGCGGCCAGCGCGGTCACGCACCCGTCGTACGCGCAGCAGAGCGCCTCGTTCCCAGAGGAGAGGACCAGGTCCCGCAAGGGAGGGAAGGCCTGGATCGCTTCCACAAAGGCCCTGTGGCAGGGGGGCATGTAGTCGCGCATCTGGCGCAGGAAGGCCACTGCAAGAGACAGCCCGAGAGGTGCGAGGGTGCCCTGGCCAGCGCCCAGCCCGGCCCGCACGTGCCTCGACAGGAGGGCACGGGCCCGACCTTTGCGACGGCCGCAACTTACAGCTCTCCTCGTGGTGCCGGATGCCCAGGAAGGCGTCAAAAGCGTGGAGCACGGTGCTCTGGGCCGCGCTGCCTCCTGAGTACGCCTGCGGCAGCTCAGACACACCTTCGTA